TTAAAAAAAAGAAAAATTCATGACCATATATACAAAGGCACAATGAGACCATAAATATGTATATTTATAAATACTATGATTATATTATGTTTGCTATATGTTAATATATATTATAAGACTATGAATACTTCTATATTTGAGCACCAGTTTAGTGATTAAGGAACAAAGTATCTACTCTTGTCTTATAATCAACATGAGACATTAGAGGATGGTGTGAAATTACTAAATTCTAGTTTGAATAAGAGATCATGTAGATGCTCATATAACAATGTTAAAAAGCAAACTGAACTCCAAATCCTGAGTAAAACCTTGGCCAAGACAACTGCCTAACCCAAATCCAAATAAGTAGCCCAATTCTGTCCAATTAAGAAAAACATGGAGCCTTCTTGGAGGAAGGTATGTATCTAAGGACAGACCGGAAGAGGAACCAACATGTTGGTAGAATGATTAAGGAATGAGAAGATAAGTTAATAGTCAAACTACCCACATGACCTGAAAGCACCTTTTGTGCACGAGGTTCATAAGCATCCATTCAACATATGTGTATTACTTGTCTTCCCTGGCCAGGTTCTTTTTGGGCACCAGGGAAGAAAAATGCCAAAACATCAGAGTTTATAATTCTAGTGAAGCCTTGACTGTTTGTTGAATGACTAAAATTGGCTGCCCCTGAGCCTTAGTTTTAAAACAGTCATTTTTTGTTGCAAAATTAATCAGATAATAGCATATTTCCCCTTTAAGGAATGTTAATGAAATTAAAATACAACCAATATTTATAAACGGCTCTCATACATTTTCATTGCAAAGACAGAATTGTCTTTGTGTTGTGAAGTAACACTTCTGTAAAGAGGAAATATAAAGTTGAAATTTTTAAGAGAAATGTAAAAGAAAGGCTAATCAGGAAATCAGAGCACAGGTCTGGGCAGGCAAGTTCCTAGACCTGAAGGTACTATTCTTTACCTTCAGCATGTTTTAACTATGCCCATTTGTCACAAAGCTAAACACCATAGAAACTCAAGTAATCATTACATTACCACTGAACTGGTTAGTGCCCATAATAATGTCCTTAAAGTACTGCAAGATTGAGATAACCTCTGAAAAATGAAACAAAAAAGTCATTATACTTCTAGAGATTTTACCTTAACATTGCATTTTTATTTCCTGAGAATTTATAATCTATGTAAGATATGCATGACTCTCTATTAACTTGACTATTAACTTAGCTTCTCATTCCTTAGTTTACCAACATGTTGGTTCCTCTTCCGGCCTGTCCTCTAGATACATACCTTGTCCTCCTGCAATTCCATTTTAGTTTTACTAGAGAAGATTAATTGCATTGAAAGAGGAGATGGGGTTGGAAAATGCGAATTAATGGGACAGTTTTGAGTATAATAAAAGAACAATAGAATTTTCGGTAAGCTCTGAAGTTGTAGCAGTCATTAGTAAGGAACTTCAAGTTTGTGTTTCTGTTGTCATCCACAGGACATAATTTGATGTACAATTTAAAAGTTTTCAAGACTTCTTGAGGAAGGCATGTTGTATTCATTTAAATAACTACCACCTTGTTCATAAACAAATTCAACAGTATCAACAGAATTCATTAAAACTATGTCACAGAGGCAGTGTTGTGGCTAACAGTACAATAGTTAAATACTCTAACCATAGAAACTTTTAAGACTGTGCCCTTGCTTGTTACTGCATACAAACTTATCTCTCATAAGTTGCTAACCCTACTATAAACCCAATAATATCTTCTCATTCACCATTAGTCTAAAATTCTAAGCCACAATTTGCATGGCTGATGACCATTCCTCATTGAAAGTCTTTATCCCCTGACATTAATATTGCTCATCTTTCCATTTACCCATGTACGTATAACCATCCCCTTACCCATTTTTGAACTAACTTCAGTAGGAATAAGAGGCTGTCTTGACAGTTTCTAACTGGCTATGCCATCTATCAGTTTATACTACTCTGCTGTCACTACCCTTGGTACTTCCTGAATTAGGTCTTCACTTCCAACTGAACAAAAGACATTAACATTTGAAATACCCACCAACATTTCATTTTCCATATGTATGTCTAAAATAACTCATGATTTTGATTATTGGATGCGCTCTTTCTTTCCATTTTGCCACCCTCAGTTAATAATTCTTTGGTGTCACAGTTATTCAATATGAGAATTAACTCTTACTCTTCAAACTCCTTTTGCTTCCTTCTAATCATTTGACAAGTAATATGGTCCCACAGATCAGACTAAGCTACCCTTTGCTTCTAATCACACCACCTTCTGGTTTTCTTTAGAATGGTGCAGCTGCCTCTAAAATAGCCCCACGAACTGATCGGTCATTGTATTTAGGATCCATCCCTGCATCAGAGAATCAGCCCCACAAAAGACTTATTAGATGAGTTAAATAAGGGGAAATATCTTAAAGTTTTTCAGAGAAGAAATTTTTCTGCATAAAGGTCACAGAAAGTAAACTGCTGAGCTTTCAAAAGCCTGTGTCTTAAACTGAGTAAGAAGATGCTAGCTGTAAAATTAAAAGTGAATTATAGTAGTGCTTTGGACCCTGTTTTGCGGCAGAACAGAAAGAAAAATCTGACAAATGAATCTCTTAGCAATGTGGAAAGAAATAAGGCAGATATTTAATCTTTTAAAAACATAGAAATTCTGAAGAAATCTCATTCCTTATTTAAGATGTTCACTACTATGGTTATTCCAAATTCCTGAGACACAATTTTGAAATCTGATGATCACTTTTCAGGTCTAGAGTCCACCGTTCTAGTTTTCAAGCACATAAGTGCAATAACTTAAAAACTTTTAGCTACTTACGTCAATGCGAAAAAAGTTCGCTTCTTTGAAAATCATTATTAAAATTTAAATGTATATTTTATCTAACAATTACATATGTCAGGTTAGCCCTTATTTCTCAATAATCTATCAAAAATGTTTCTATGCAAAAGGGCTCAGTGGGAAATTCTCTTGTCAATAAAGATTTCAGAAATTGTTTGTTTAGAACTCCAAATTTACATGTTTTCTAAAGCTTTAATGACAATCTATAAGCAGAAAGGGGGCATTTTAAATGAAAAACTATATATCTGTGGTGATATTTTGTTTATGAGCTAACAAATAAAACTTGCCTGAAGATCAGAGTGCAAAGCTAGTCACAGTAGTCAGCCATTCAGGCCAGACAATAGTGGCACACACCTTCAGTCCCAGCAGCCACGTTAGTTAGCCATAGAAGCTGGCTGGTGGTGGTGCACACCTTTAATCCCAGCACTAGAGAGGAATATAAGTCAGGTGGAGACAGGAGTGCAGTGTATTCAGTCTGCAGTAATGCTGAGGACAGGATCGTCCCAACCTTGGTAGAGGCAAGAACTTGCTAATGGTTGACTTTGCTTTCCGGATCTTCAGTTTGGACCCCAATATCTGTCTCTGGGTTTTCATTATTCATGCTACAGATATCAATTTTAGAATGTTTTATTGCATCCTATTCTGTAAATTCAAATTCTAATGGATTTGCACATAAGCAATGTATAAAATGAAACCATTGCCCCCATAATGAAACTGATCAACACAGGACAAAAATCTAAACTAGGCTAAATCCAAAAAGAAGGTAGTTTGTTTTTCAAATAAAAATATCTATATTGAGTATAAAGACCAAATTGAGCAAATTTTCTCAATCTTCATAAACACAAATCAATACACTAAGTGTAATTTGACAAATGCTGGAAACCTTTAAAATCCTTAAATCCAAGGATTAGGGTAAAAAAAAAAAACCACCTTGCTGTATTTGTTCTGTTCCTTTATTCTTAACCTGAAAATCAAATTTTCTAGGTTTGGTGATACAAGGAATCAAAAAGGAAGCTAGCTGAGATCAAGTCACCCTACAATTGGAACATAAATCTGCCACAGCAACTATATGTTTAAGAACCTGTTGATAATATAAAACTTTGTTTGGCTATTAAACATATCCTTAAAATCCCTGTTGTTGAAATGTGCAAAATCCAGTGTTTTTTTTCTTGTAGTGTTAATGAACTACATTGAAAATTATTCCATCAGTTTTTGAGCCCCCTTGCAAGGCAAGAAAATGGTATTCTCATCTAACAGAGGGGGAAAAACTGAAGTGAGTGCAATTGTGTTCAGTTGCAAAAGAACAATAGTTCTAATACACCTGGAAGTTGATACCAAAGACTTTTATATACATATCCTCTTCCATTGTCTAGTTAAACCCTTGGATCCTAGCTCTGTACTTTTTACCAGAGTACATTATTGCTTTGTGAGCTGCCACTGTACTTTCCTCTTTCATTTACTTTTAAACTCTTTAATATGGACAACCTAACATCTGGTCAATGGTGGGTGTTCAGCTAACTTACTGGAAGCACTTATTCTATTAAGTATTCTTTTTTAATCTCAAAAGTTCAAGAGATCACCATTCTTTGTAAAATGCACTGAGATGTAATTTAAGAAGTAGAAAATGAAGCTGCAGTTTCATAAAAACAAGTTTGAAATTTCACTTGAAAGTTTTTCCCATCATATAGTTCTGAGTCCTTCAGAATCGTGATCCATAAAGCCGGGATGTCATACTTGGGTGGAAATATCTTCAAGTGACTTCCAGTGTTGCTGCTGGGTTGACTCTCCTAAGTAAAAGAAGTGCCTAAAAGGAGTGCCTAATGGATATCCAAAGAACACACACACACACACACACACACACACACACACACACACACACACACACACTCAGCTAATCATTACTTTTTTAATTGGCTAAGAAAATCTCCAATCAAATCAGGGCAATTTACATTATTTCAGCATTACTAACATTGGTCTTTGTGTACCCACAGTGACATCATGACAGTGAAATATTCATTTTTAAGCCTTAAACATTTTACCTCTATGTGTCCAATAGAAATACAATATGTAAATTAACCTATATTATCTGTATGCTGATTGGCTTGAGTTCCCCTGAATGTCACAATCTCACCACCCAGCGATGAGGTATTTTACTGCTGTCTCGGAGATCAAATTATTACAGTAGAGAGATTTTTTTCTGTTTCATTAACAGATTATTATAAAGCAATAAGCTTGCAGCAAGAGAAGCAGACGTTCTACCTTGGGAATTAACGAAAGCGTGCCTGCTAGCTTTCAAGGGGTGGAGAGAGGGCAGTTGTTTAAAAATCTTACCCCACCCTCACAGAAACTCTTTGGAATTGGGAGAATCGGAACGAGGATGATTCTAGAGGCGTTCCTAATCACCAGGTGTCAGACTATGTGGTGTTTGTGGACTGGTGTAAGTTTCCGATATTCATCATATTCCTGGTATTTTGTTATGTCTAATAACAAAGAAGAGGAAAGGGGGGACTCATACACACCACCGCTTTGACATCAGCAACCTATTGGTCAGCCCAGCTTGGAGGAGAAAGGAGAGGCTTGTTGCTTGGTGGGGTGGGATGTGAGGAACAGCCATGTAAAACCTCTGTACTCCTGATGCGTTAGTCACATTCTAGAAGGTAGAATGAGTGTAGATGGTTTTTGCACTTGTCGTCTGAACTTAGCTTCGCCTTCCTTAAACGCAGATCTGCGTGCCTTCGAGAACAGATGACGACTAACAAAGACAGGGCTGCCCTAACCCGCTTCCCTTCTTCCCCCATTGAAAAGATTTTTGATTGTGCTTAATTTTTTTTCATTCTTTCTTTTTTCTTTCCCCAGCTAACGTGCCAAATCAAAGATCAGCAGGGAAAAATCTTGTGAGAAGAATTCTCCAAGGCGCATCCAATGCTTAGCAGGACCACCCTGACAGAGAAAGGAAGACGATGTTTGGGGAAGGCGAGGGTTCGTGGCAGCTGGGGCGGAGGTGGTGGTCCGCGGCACGGTGGCTTCGTGCGCTGCCCTAGGGGAAGAGGATGGGCCTGAGGTCCGGGAAGAGCCTTGCAGAGCCCCCCACTTCCAATGCGGGGAGGGAAAAGTTGCGAAGCAGCCTCGAGGGAACAAAAGCCTGATTCGGGGCCGACTGAACTGGACAGGACATTAAAGCAAGCCAACCTGCTCCGGGAACACGCAGGGGCTCCGGCTGGCTCGCCGGAGGCCGGAGCAATCCTTGCCGCCGCCCTCGCCACCGCGCCGCCGCCGCTGCCCCTGCGTTACTGGGGGAGACCGTGCCGCTGCGACAGGGGAGGACGCGGCTGGAGCTGAAGGAGGCTCCAACGCGCAGGCGCCGCCGAGCCCTGCCTGGATGCTCAGTCAAGGCACTCAGGAAAAAAAAAAAATCAGCAATTTATAGAAAGAAGAAGCTATAGTCTGTCGGGATATCCAACACCAACAGGTAGGAGGATATACTCTCCGTTAAGTTTGGGGGAGGGGGATTGCACCGTGTTGGTGAAACTGCAGGTTCACCGGGATATACCCCTCCCAGAGGGTTTTTTTTTTTTTTGACAATAAACTGCATAATGGAAGTACATTCAGACAATGCATCTTCTGTAAGGCTTATTGGGAGTTCGGTTTCTGGAAAGCTTTGCGAAACTGAGAGATATCAGACTGCGAATCACCGGGAACCCTTCCCTTGCAGCACAGAAGCAATCTCTCCCCATCTTCGAGTATGTAATGCATCTCTCTCTCTCTCTCTCTCTCTCTCTCTCTCTCTCTCTCTCTCTCTCTCTCTCTCTCTCTCTCTCTCTCTCTCTCTCTCTCTCTCCTCTCCTCTCTCCCACCCCCTCCCCCACCCCTGTTATAAATCCAGGGGTGGTGGATTTCAGGTTTCGTAATGTTGCATGATGTGATGGGTATTTACCCGGGGATGCACCGGTTGGGAAATTAACATCATCGGATGCAGTCCTGCTTGGGCTTCCATCAGCATATTCCAGGCAAGTGAGAAGTGGCGAAGGAAACTCGCTTCGTGGGAATAACAGAGGAACCTGATTTCCCTGGTGTGGCTCCCAGGCACCTAGGAGACAATGTGCATTTTGTTTGAAAATAAAGCCACTTGTGATTTGCAACAAAGGTTATCAGTGTAAATGAGAAAGGCTTAATTGCCTAAGAAATACCAGTTCATGTTATATTCATTTGAATCCAGGCAGCCAAGGTTGACAAATGGAAGTGAATTATTCCTCTGGGTGTGTTTCCCTGACCAATATTTACATTAACCATTTTTAATAATCATGTAGGCTTAAAAGAGACAAGATTTGCCAAAAAGGGGGGTGGGGTAGGGAGAGAAAGACAAAAGATTAAACCACTTCAAGTCTTGGAATAGGTTTCTATTCATTTTGAAGTCTGGTGTTGAAATTATGCCTCAAGATGAATCAACAAATACTCTTATGCAGCATGAACAGTGGCACTTGGCTTAAAAGATGTATTTTGCAGAGGGTCTCGGGGTGCATAGGAGCAGAGATGCTTCCTTTAAAATACTGATGGTACTAAAAGAGCTCAAATAATCATGGGTAGCCTCCTTTCTGCCTCCTATCAGCAATCTTGCAGATTCCATTGCAAAGCTAGTGATTAATTCCTGGGCTGGCATATTTTACAACTGTGGGACAATTTATTCCCTTCCCTCCTGAAGGTGCCCAAATCGAACTATACAGTGTGTAGAATAAGGGCATTGTTAAGTTACCCTAGCTTAGAGCACGAAAACAGCCAGTACCCTGACATCTCCAATAAATAGCTGCTGAAGCAAACACTAGTGTTTAAAATGGAAACTTTGTTTGCTTCCTCAGAGAGGAGCAGCTTTATGCTAGCCCTGACATCATGGCTTGTTAACTTACGAACTGATAGCTCTCTTTTATTTCTTCAGATATTCTGATGGCAAATCAAACGGAAGGAAAGAGGAAGCATGACCACAGATCGGATCGGATCTCTTTGTGGATTACATTTTCAGTAAAATGTATGGATCTATCTTTTCCTTGTTCGTATATCTAGATCATGAGACTTGACTGAGGCTGTTTCCTTATCCTCCATCCATCTATGGCGAACTATAGCCATGCAGCTGACAACATTTTGCAAAATCTCTCGCCTCTAACAGCCTTTCTGAAACTGACTTCCTTGGGTTTCATAATAGGAGTCAGCGTGGTGGGCAACCTTCTGATCTCCATTTTGCTAGTGAAAGATAAGACCTTGCACAGAGCTCCGTACTACTTCCTGCTGGATCTGTGCTGTTCAGACATCCTCAGATCTGCAATTTGTTTTCCATTTGTGTTCAACTCTGTGAAAAATGGCTCTAGCTGGACTTACGGGACTCTGACTTGCAAAGTGATTGCCTTCCTGGGGGTTTTGTCCTGTTTCCACACCGCTTTCATGCTTTTCTGCATCAGCGTCACCAGGTACTTAGCTATCGCCCATCACCGCTTCTATACAAAGAGGCTGACCTTTTGGACGTGTTTGGCTGTGATCTGCATGGTGTGGACTCTGTCTGTGGCCATGGCGTTCCCCCCGGTTTTAGACGTGGGCACCTACTCGTTCATTAGGGAGGAGGATCAGTGCACCTTCCAACACCGCTCCTTCAGGGCTAACGATTCCCTAGGATTTATGCTGCTCCTCGCTCTCATCCTCCTAGCCACACAGCTTGTCTACCTCAAGCTGATATTTTTTGTCCACGATCGAAGGAAAATGAAGCCAGTCCAGTTTGTGGCAGCAGTAAGCCAGAACTGGACCTTCCATGGCCCTGGAGCTAGTGGCCAGGCGGCTGCCAATTGGCTAGCGGGATTTGGAAGGGGTCCCACACCACCCACCTTGCTGGGCATCAGGCAAAATGCAAATACCACAGGCAGAAGACGGCTGTTGGTCTTAGATGAGTTCAAAATGGAGAAGCGAATCAGCAGAATGTTCTATATAATGACTTTTCTCTTCCTAACCTTGTGGGGCCCCTACCTGGTGGCCTGCTATTGGAGAGTTTTTGCAAGAGGGCCTGTAGTACCAGGGGGATTTCTAACGGCCGCTGTCTGGATGAGTTTTGCCCAAGCAGGAATCAATCCCTTTGTCTGCATTTTCTCCAACAGGGAGCTGAGGCGCTGTTTCAGCACAACCCTTCTTTACTGCAGAAAATCCAGGTTACCAAGGGAACCTTACTGTGTTATATGAGGGAGCATCTGTAAATCTTTAGCCTTGTGGAACACTCACCCTCTCTGCTAAGCAACTGTGGCCTGTAGCCATGTCTTGAGACGAAAACCAAGGATGGGATCAGCAGTTATAAGGATTTGGGCAACATTCTGCAGTCTTTGCAATAGTTCACCTATAATCCTATTCTAAATCTCAGAGTGATCCTGCTGACTGCCGTCGAAGGTTTGTAATTAAGAAAGGACAGAACCACTGCCCTAAGTTTCTTTCTGTGGTTGAACACTAGATAATGAAAGTAGCAGGTGCTAAGTATCAGTGCTAAATGCTGTGTATATCATTACATATGAAAAAACTTAAAAACAATTAGCATTGGACATTTTAATAAATTAAGTTGACATGAGGTAAATGTGTTGATAAAAGCTAATTTTAGAAGTCTGAAGACTTTAAAACATTTCATACTATTTTTGTTTTGCAAAGACTTCACTACTGGGGGACTAAACAGTACTGTAATCTTCTAAAGATGTGCCATGAATTATTGGGGTACAACACTTTAAACATGCCTTGTAAGTTTGGGGGAGTATTCCAAAGCAGTATATTGGTTCCAATTAGAGTTTACCTTTTTTGTATTAATATATTGCTATTTCTAAATGCCACTTTCCTTCCCTACCAGTGAAATTGCTAGAATTGAACTGTATTATATGTTTTCTGTTCATTCAGTTATAAAAAGTTTCCAATTCATTTCCATTTTACAAATGCTAGATATCTGTCTGGGAGGCAACATGAATGGTATCAGCTGACCACAGATGAGCCGTTCTAATGATGCGGAATAAACACGTGTTGCCTTAAAGGGTTATCTAGTATCCTTCATATTCTTTAGCAGTGGAGAAAATAGTCACGAGGCATTGAATCAGTGACTGGCCCTGGCTGTTCATCAGGAAGTGCATGGAAAAGCATTGAATACTTTTCCATTTTTCCTCACATGGTTTGGAAACTAAGGTGCACATCACTGGGGTAATGAGATTTTCTTCTGAGGTGTGCTACCCATTTTAGTGTGTTCTAAGAAACAGTCAGCTGATATATGTTTATATTGTAAGTCAGCTGTCAAGGGGAGCCCACAGCCTTAGGAAGACACCTGGCACAATTTGTGAAGCATTTATTCTATGGAAGGCACAGTCTTGTTTATACTTTCTGCACATTCAGTGTATTGGTCGTTTAAATTATTTCAGTTTTAACTTGTGAAAGCTTACAATATGATTTCTGGTATTTTAGAAATACATTAGATTCTGTGAGTCTCATTCTTTAAGATACAGATGTGTGAACTTCAATATAAAGTTGCATTTGCCAAAATTTATCTGTGTAGCCTGTTAATTTTGGGGGAATAAATTTTACATTTTTGGCATATAGTTTTCTTTAATCTAACAAACAAGCACAAGCTAGAAAAATAAGTCTTATTATGATTTTTTAATTTTGTAGTTCCATATTCTGAAACTGGAAATATATAACTGACAGCATAAAGCTGACTTAATATTTCTAAAGCACTTTTGGGTAAATTTCAAATCCATCCCTTTATTCTTATATGGTAGTAGTATTTACAAACAAATACATGCCTAAGATTTTGATTTGGAATTTTAATATAATTATTACATTTTAGTGTGCAGTGGAATTTGAGTTCTAAATTTATTACTTGTCAGATGGTTTACAGAAAGAGTATAACAAAGCCAGAGAAAGCTATTATTAATTCTGTTGGCTTTCCATTATTTTGTTTCTTTCTGGAGGGATTTTGTTTGTTTTGCTTTATACTTGTATTTGAAAAATAAGGTTAACAACACACTGAAACAGGATTTCTTATTAATACAATACTTCTACAAACAGAATTTTTAACATAAATAGAAAGAACAGAAAACTGAAATTTTCAGTGGTCTATGCAGCAGTTTCTCTCAAGCCATGATTAGTGAGCATTCTAATCTCATTTCTACACCAAAGCTTATTTGATCTGAAACAAAGTTTAAAGCATAGTAGTGAGGTGGATCTAGCAATAAAAGCTCCTTGTTGGTACTAAAACCATTATCTAAAACACAATAAAGACAATGTTACCTGAACATGTTCTGCTAACATGTTTCCATCTCAGCATTTACAGGCAAGACATGACATTGATTATTTTCATGGAAAACTTTGCTTAAAGTTTCAAATATCGATCAGAAATTTCAGCAATGGTCTTGAGGCCAGGGAATGTAGGTTTCAATCATCTGTACTTCTAATATTTAGATAAGTAAATAGATGTGGATTAAGTGGGGGCAGGGCATAGGAAGTAAGAGAAAGGTAAATGAGTTTGGCTGACTCTACCTGGTTACTCAGACTAACAACTCAGTTTGTATAAATGGCTAGTCCCTGGGGGTTAGTGAATAAAGCTAACTCTAGTGACTGTCAAGTGACTGTCACTCTTGGCCTACTCGGCACTTGCAGGTGAAGGCTGAATGAAGCACTGAGTCGGTGAGTCAGACACAGCCCCGGTTATCAATCAGTTTTGTAAGTCAACTCATAATAATAGTAATCTTAAAAACTAAAAATCTTCTCCAGTGTTTTTATGACCAAAACATGTTATCTATTGTGGCAACCATTCCAATAGTCAGAAAAAAAAACAGTTGGTAATTAATTCCACTTGAATTTTTTACTAATTTTCAATCTATAAAAATATATCCTCATTGGGGAGTCCAACTTCCCATTGAGAAAGATTCATCATTAATAATTCAATCCCTTCAAAAGACTTGGAGATGACTCTTTCCTGGTAGAGTCACACTTCTCTCAGATTATCATGCAAATGTCTAGGTAAAGGGTAGTCAAATGATAGACTTGTCCCTGTGCATTTACTGATAACTATCAGGAGCTCTTTCTTGGTGCCAACCAAAAATAGAAATAATATATAAAATGAGATGTACTATTATTAAAGTATTCACACTTTTAAGATTCCTACTGCTTCTTATGGGGTGGGAAACACTTCTGAGTACCCTACAGCTGAAAAGTTGGTTTGGCCGCCAACAGTGATTTCTATTACAAGTACAGTGAAATAAATTCATAATTATGCAGATATCATTTAACTGCTGAGCTGTGCTGATCCTGGGATTACTGCTGGGAAGTTGTAAATGGAACCCAAACTCCTCACTTCTCCCATATTCACCATTAAACAAATATGGGTTTTTATTCTAGCTTATGCCCTGAGTAGCATAGAATATAGCTTTTTTACACACCAAAGTCCACCTTATATCAAATCCATACTAGAAAGAAAATAAAAGGGCTCTAAATAATGACATATTTTATACAATGACTAATAATACTAAATCAAGATAAAATCTGTTTGTCTGGGAGTTATTTACTATTCCCAAGTCTTGTGAGTTTGCTTTTCCATGAAAAAAATCACATTTGTTGTTGGTGATAGAGTTTACAAATATTTTGAAGGGAAATTATAGGTCCTATTATCTGTTCATTAATGAAATTTAATGCCCTTCTCAATTATAGATATGCCATTGATTTTGTGACTTTTGTAAACCTGCAAGAACTTTATTTACCTCACATTAAAATGATAGAATTGCTCAATATTGAGTTGTGAATCCATAGCCTACACAGTGCTTAAAATGAAGATTCCATTTGAAAATGGTAAGTAAGTTAAGAGTGTAGTAATCAAACAAGCAAGCAAACAAAAAAGGAGCAACGTAGTAGAGATTTGGGGTGAATCAGTCTGACAAATACTGCTTGCCTTATAATTCAATGGGACAGATCCTAAAAATAAACAGTAAAGCCAAAAGCCTTTAACTTCATAAAAATGTTACATAAGTAAAGCCTTGTTTTCAAACAAGGGAAGAAGCTTTTGCATTGTCTCCGTTTGCCAAAAAGGATGCTGTCCATTAGTTGTTCAAACCCTTTGGGTTAAAAGGCTTTTAAAGCCAGTTTCCTCTCCCCAAGTCAGGAAATTGACCAAGCAGCAGATCATCTAATGCTCCAGAGGAAACCCAGGAGAATGTGTTTCCCTAAAAGTGGCTGTGCAAATAAGCCTCCAGGAAGCTACAGGTCAATTGGAAGTTGGAGGGGTTCACACCTGGCCCTCCCAGCCAGCTCCCAGTTCTTTTTGATGCCTAAGGACACATCGTTCTGTGAGTGTGGAAAGTATTAGATTCTTGTCACAAATAGGAAAGCTGATACTGTAATTTAGGCCACGTTTTATGAGATGTTTGGGTAGATAGTACAACACTGAATCATTTAGCTTATGTGGGTACTCGAGATCACGGGATGAGGAAGTAAGGTACTCGCTGTACCACAAGCAAGGGGTGGGGGGATGTACTCCCAAAAATGTTAAAGATGGATTAAGAATTGGGCTTGGACTAGCCACAGCTAATCAGTTGTTTCTTTTTATAGACTTAAGAAAAGAATTAAAAAAACAATTAAATGGATGAAGCAGAGTTTGTCCCTTTGTCTTCCAACAAAAAAATGTTGAATTTCATGTTAATTTTCTCCCATGAAAATTACTTTGATTATTGAAACGTAACTTTAATGTGAAAACACTTCATTATGCCCCCATTTTAGATATTCTTCGTTGAATGAGTTTGCATCCCTGCAAGGTCCTGGCAGAGAGTCTGCCATTTTAAATAAACTTTACACGGTGCTGCAAAGAAGTTCACCATCGCACTCTGAAGACATCAGCAGAGGATGAGACAATGTGCTAAGTGCTGTAAGGGAGATAGGTGAGATAAGTGTGAAAACAACACGGGCAAGCAATTAACTCTGTGAAGGTGGGAGAAGGGAGGTGAGACAGGAAAAAGTGGCAACTGAACAGGCCTTGCTGGATCATGTCAATTTCACTGGCTTGACAAAGTTAGTAAAGCTATTCAGATAGAGGCGTAACAATATGGGCAAAAGGAAAAGGTATGTTAAAACCCCGGAGGGGTCACAGAAAACTCATCAAAGAGGCTTATGTGATATAGCTGGAGCGGAGGGGGAGTCAGCATGGTGGGATAGCTAAAAAGCAAAACATTAGAAGGCGTAGGCCCTTATTCTGTCTCTTACTAGCTCTGCAGTCTTAAACATGTTGGTCAGGTTTCTTTTTAGATTCAGTATGCTTATCTGTAAATTGGTGAGTAAATTACTGGTTTTAAAAGTTTGCATTGAATATTATATGAAATAACAAGAATTTATTATAACATGCCCAGGAATGTTCTAAAATCTGGTATTCACTCATTTGACAATCAAAAGTAGATGCTATTAATATTTATAATTTGTAAATTTAGAAGCTGCAACAGAGAATTAAGCAACCTGCAAATGTTAGTAAAGACAAGGGTGGCTGTCAGGCACATCATTCAATATTCAGCTAAACTAGATATTCATTCATGCAATACCCAGCCCAGCTAAACATTCACTCATGCAGTATCTAGCCCAACTAAACATTCATTCATGCAATATCCACCCTCACTGTATGCTCATAAATGTTAGCTGTGGTTGCAGCTTCTACTGCTGCTGCTGGTGGTGGTAAGAACATCGTTGTTGAAGGTTAGAAACTAGAGGAACAGGAGGAGCACAGCAGCGGCAGAGCTCTGGGCCTTTGGAACTTAGCTCCACATTGCTTGCCTGCCTTCCTTTCCCACAGAGACTCTGAAAGAAACAGAGGATTGGTTACTAAACCCATCTCTGCTTTCATGTAGGATCCTGCTACCGCAGAAAGGAGAACCCATCACAATTTTTTTCAGATGACTTTTCAGAAGGACACTGCTCAGATTTGAAAAGTGGGTTACACAGCTCACACCAGGTGGACAGTTTTGCCTAGATCTGGCTATTTTTCTGTACTATACAAGTTTTGTCACATTCTCAAAAGGAAATATTTAACATAGTGGACTGTTGTAGGCTGGATAAAATCTTTTCATTCAGTTTATTCAGTCTGCCTTAATGGCCTACCTTCTAGAAACACCATTCCTAGCCCCTGTGCCAACTAATGATATTTATTTTCCTATCCTCAGATCTTTCAACAGCTTTCATGCCAGTGTTCAGATCTCTATTTAGTAAGGGGATAATTCATAGAGAGTAGTGTAGAGTTACCTTGTCATATTGTTTCTATGATAGTCATGAAGCCAGAGAATTCCCATACATTTTTATCTACTGACATATGGACAATTGCTTGCACATCTAGCCATCCTTTGCTGCCTCTTTTTGATATGTTGATTTGGTGATTTTCTGTTTCCATAACCACTGTACTTCATTCTTTCTATTTGCTCTCTTCAGCAGTAATTGTCAAGGTGAGTCCATCTTCTAAAATGATAGGTGCTGTCTTCTCCCTGTTTCCACACACTGGCCTCTGTGGTTTCAGG